GTTCTGGACTCCTGAAACTCCAAAACCCTTGGCCATTATCGCTGCTTTAGAGGACGCCCACGTGCAGGCAACTGTTATTTGTGGTAAGAAAAACAACATACAGATCAGAATCCGAAGTGGTGGACATGACTTTGAAGGTCTCTCCTATGTCTCTTTTGTCCCATTTGTCATCCTTGACATGTTTAATCTTCGTGCAATCGATGTGGATATAGCGAGCGAGACTGCTTGGGTTCAAGCTGGAGCGACAACCGGGGAGTTATATTATAGAATTGCAGAGAAAAGTGATTTCCATGCCTTCCCTGCAGGAGTTTGTACCACTTTAGGCACCGGTGGCCATTTTAGTGGAGGTGGATATGGGACATTGATAAGAAAGTATGGATTGTCGATTGATAACATCATCGATGCCCAATTAGTTGATGCAAATGGTAGGATTCTTGACAGGAAATCAATGGGGGAAGACTTGTTTTGGGCGATTAGAGGTGGTGGTGGAGCAAGCTTTGGTGTTATCCTTTCGTGGAAGATAAAGCTTGTTCGTGTTCCACCCAAAGTCACCGTCTTCAATGTGGTGAGAACCCTAAAGCAAGGAGCTACTGACATAGTCTATAAATGGCAACAAGTTTCTTCAAAACTTGACAAGGATCTCTTTATTAGGGTTATGCCACAAGTTGTGAATGGTGATAATGGTCAGAAGACAGTAAATATTTCTTTCATTGGCCATTTTCTTGGGCAAACGGATCGGCTTCTTGAATTGCTAAACAGAGATTTTCCAGAATTGGGTTTACAAAGAAATGATTGCATTGAAATGAAGTGGATTGAATCGACTCTTTTTTGGTTTGGATTCCCTAACGGGACCTCCATCGATGTTTTACTTCAAAGAGTATCAACGATCAAAGCCATGTCAAAGAATAAGTCTGATTATGTAAGGAAGGTGATCTCGAAGGAAGATTTGGAAACCATATGGAAGTTAATGATGGAAATAAAAGGGTTTTGGATGCAATGGAATCCTTATGGAGGAAGAATGGAGGAGATTACAGAATCCGAAACACCATTTCCACACCGAGCAGGAGTAATCTTCAAGATTCTACACTCGGTTTCGTGGACACAAGAAGGAAACCAGGCAACACCAAAGTATTTAAGTCTTATAAGAAAGTTTTACAATGCTGTCACTCCTTATGTGACAAGCCAACCCAGAGAAGCTTTTCTAAATTACAGAGATCTTGACATTGGTAGTGGCTCAAGCAATGGCACCAACTTTGAAGATGCTACAGTTTATGGGTTCAAATACTTCAAGGGTAATTTCAAGAGAATGGCTTTGGTGAAGGCCATGGTGGATCCTGATAATTTCTTTAAGAATGAACAAAGCATTCCACCCCTGTTCCATTTTGGTGAAGGCTTAGTGAAAAGTTCTTATGAACTATAATTCCATTTGCTCTGTATACAAATCACTGTATCACGTTACAGTTTTAATATCAATTTAAATAAGTATGATTACAAAAATAATTAATATGTTAATTTCAATAGTTACTACGCTTTTCGGAAGAACAAATGAATTAAAAGACTTTGTAAATATGATTTGTTCGTTCAAAATATTTTTTAAAACTCAAAAAATTTTAAAGTGAGTATATATATAATTATATAAAATTTGGAACTTAATATTAGACAAACCGAATTATTTAAGTACATGATTGAAGTCATATGGTACTGCATGTAACCTAATATATATTGAAATCTAATGTAAGATTAATTTCAATAATTATGTTAATAAATGACTAATTTATTTTTTTGGTATAGAGTGGAAGTACGAGTTCATACATAGACATATTTATAATTACAAATGAACGATAAACATTCAGAATCGTAAGTAAATTACAATATATTTATGACCAATCTTGGCCAACCACTAAGTATCTTGGTCACAATCTCCTTTATAAAAGTGACCTAATTATGTGGTAATGTTGGGATGCTTTGTTCATGTCTAAAGAAATTAGCAGGATCAACCTCAGTCTTAATTTTCACCAGCCTATTGAAATTCTCCTTGAAGTACTTCACCCCATAAACTCTTCCTTCCCAGAAACTAAACCTCCCATTATGGTTGATGCCAATGTCAAGATCCTTGTAGTTAAAGAATGCCTGCCGTGGGTTCTTGGAAACAAAGGGAGTCATGAACTTATGAAGCTCCCTTGTTAAATCTATGAAGTGGTTTGTAGTTTCAATCCCTCCTTCGTTCCAGTTTGTGGCATACTGAAACTTCCATAGATTTCCAGCTCTATGAGGAAAAGGACTTGCGGTCGAAGGAATCTCAGCCATTTTCCCACCATAAGGGTTGAAAGTTAACATCACAGCTTCCAATTCAATCATCTTCTTCCAGATATCATCTAACTTCTCCCTCGGAATTGGTTGCTTCACATAGTCTGATTTCCTCTTCAGAAAAGTGACCGATGGTGGGGTGCGGTTGAGTAAGAGCTCGGGTGAGTCAATAGCGAAGTTGGTCCAGAAAAGAACTGATTGGATCCAGCTAGTTTGGATGCAATCAGATTGGACCAGACCCAATTCAGGAAAGATATGAATCATGATGGAGAGGAGAGTTTTGGAGTCACCAAGGAACAAGGAGAGGAATGTTCCTCTTGCAGTCTTTTTACCAGTTTGGCCACTAGTGTTTACAACATCCATAGTGAGCCTAACAAAGAGGTTGTCATCTAAGTGAGAAGCTACATGTTGGTAGCGATCGACAATGTGGGTAAGGTTTTGTTCGAGAGTTCTTTGAAATCGAAAGACTGTCATACTTCTG